ATATACGACAACAACAAAGAGCAAGTCCTGCTATGGCACACAACAACAAGAGGTTCTGTTATGGTACACAACAACAAGAGTGTCTCTGTTATGGCACACAACAAGAGGTCTCTGTTATGGCACACAACAAGAGTGTCTCTGTGGTACATGTTAAGAGTGCCCCTCATATGGTACACACAACAAGAGGTTCTATGGCACACAACAAGAGTGTCTCTGTTATGGCACACTAAATCAGCATATGGACTCTGTTATGGCAGCACCAAGAGTGCTCAAGAGGAAGGTTACCAAGTAGCAGTCTCTATATGGCACACTAACAAGAGTGTCTCTGTTATGGCATTAATAAACAAGAGTGACTCTGTTATGGTAATAGCCAAACAAGAGCGTCTCTCATGGTACATAATGCAGCAAGCCCCTGTTATGCACACAACAAGAGTGTCTCTCTGTTATGGCACACAACAACAAGAGTGCGTCTCTGTTATGGCACACAACAACAAGAGTAATCTCTGTTATGGTACACAGAGCTGCCCTGTTATGCGCCAACAAGAGTGTCTTCTACAGTGGTACACAACAAGAGTGTCCTTCAGCAGTGGTACACAACAAGAGTAAGCCCCCGCGCGGCACAACAAGAGTACCCTGTTATGGCACACGTCAAGGAGCAGCCCCTGCTATGGCACACAACAAGAGTGTTCCCCAACAAGATGTTCCAAAGAGGTTCTGTTATGGCACACAACAAGAGTGTCTGCAGTGGCACACAACAAGAGTGTTCCCAGCAGTGGTGTCACAAACAACAAGAGTGTTCCCTGCAGCACAACAACAAGAGGTCTCTAAGCAGGGTACAAACAAGAGTGTGACTTCCTGTTATGGCACACAACAACAAGAGTAAGTCTCTGTTATGGCACACAACAAGAGTGTCTCTGCTATGGCACACAACAAGAGTGTCTCTGTTATGGTACACAACAACAAGAGGTTCCCCTGTTATGGCACACAACAACAAAGAGTGTCTCTGTTATGGTACACAACAACAAGAGTAATTCTGTTATGGCACACAAATAAGAGGTCTCTCTATGGTACAATAAACAAGAGTGTTCCTGTTATGGCACACAACAACAAGAGTGTCTCTGTTATGGCACACAACAAGAGTGTCTCTGTTATGGCACACAACAAGAGTGTCTCTGTTATGCACACAACAACAAGAGTGTCTCTGTTATGGCACACAACAACAAGAGGAACCCTGTTATGGCACACAACAAGAAAGTGTCTCTACAGTGGTGACACAACAAGAGTGTCTCTGTTATGGCACACAACAAGAGTGTGTCTGTTATAAGGTACACAACAAACAGAAAAGCCCTGTTGTGCAGTACACAACAAAGGCGTCTCTGTTATGGCACACAACAAGAAAAGGCTCCCCTGTTATGGCACACAACAAGAGTGTCTCTGTTATGGCACACACACAACAACAAGAGTGTCTCTGTTATGCACACAACAAGAGTGTCTCTGTTATGGCACAACAAGAGTGTCTCTGCTATGGTACACAACAAGAGTGTCTCTGCTATGGTACACAACAAGAGTGTCTCTGTTATGGTAACACAACAACAAGAGTGTCTCTGTTATGGTACACAAACAGAGGTTCCCTGTTAGGTACACAACAAGAGTGTCTCTGTTGCAGCCATAACAACAAGAGGCCCCATGGTGTTACACAAACAACAAGAGTGTCTTCGTGTTATGGCACACAACAAGAGTGTTCCCTGTTATGGTGCCAGTCAAAGAGTGTCTCCGCTATGGCAAGCACACAGAGAAAGGACTCTATATATACACACAACAAGAGTGTCTGTTATGGCACAACAAGAGTAGCCCTATGGTACACAACAAGAGTAAGTTCTGTTATGGCACACAACAAGACAGTCTCTGTTATGGCACATTACTGCGTGTCTCCTGTTATGCAGCACACAACAAGAGTGTCTCTGTTATGGTACACAATGGAGTGCCCCCAGCAGGTGCACACAACAACAAGAGTGTCTCTGTTATGGTACACAACAACAAGAGTGTCTCTGTTATGCAGTTGCCCTTCTGTTATGGCACACAACAAGAGTGTCTCTGTTAGTGGTGGCACACAACAAGAGTGTCTCTCTGTTATGGTAATACAAACAAGAGTGTCTCTGTTATGGCAATACAACAAGAGTGTTCTATGGCAATAACAAACAAGAGTGTTCCTGTTATGGCACACAACAAGAGTGTCTCTGTTATGGCACACAAACAAGAGTGTCTCTTGCACACAACAAGAGTAAGTCTCTGTTATGGCACACAACAAGAGGTTCTGTTATGGCACACAACAAGAGTGTCTCTACAGGTACACAAACAAGAGTGTTCCTGTTATGGCACACAACAACAAGAGTGTTCCCTGTTATGGCACAGTCACAGGTATCTGTTATGGTACACAACAAGAGTGGGGTTCTGGTGGCACAATTGTCAAGAGTGTTCCTATGGTACACAACAAGAGCGTTCCTTATGGCACACAACAACAAGAGTGTCTCTGTTATGGCACACAACAAGAGTGTTCCTCTGTTATGGCACACAACAGAGTCTCTGTTATGGCACACAACAACATAGTGTTCTGTTATGGTACACAACAAGAGTGTCTCTGTTATGGCACAACAAGAGTTGCCTCTGTTATGGTACACAACAACAAGAGTGTTCCCTACAGTGGCACACAACAAGAGTAGTCTCTGTTATGGCACACAACAACAAGAGTGTCTCTGTTATGGTACACAACAGCAGTGCCTCTGTTATGGTACACAACAACAAGAGTGTCTCTGTTATGTGGCACACAACAACAAGAGTAAGTCTCTGTTATGGTACACAAATAAGAGTGTCTCGTTATGGCACACAACAACAAGAGTAAGCCCTGTTATGCAATACAACAACAAGAGTGTTCTTGTTATGGCACACAACAAGAGCAAGTCTCTGTTATGGCACACAACAAGTAGTAAGTTCCCTGTTATGGCACACAACAACAAGAGTGTTCCTGTTATGGCACACAACAAGAGTGTCTCTGTTATGGCAATACAACAACAAGAGTGTCTCCTGTTATGGCACAACAAGAGTGTTCTGTTATGGCACACACCAACAAGAGGTCTCTGTTATGGTACACACAACAAGAGTGTTCCCTTGTTGGTGGCACACAAATGTCTCTGTTATGGTACACAACAACAAGAGTGTCTCTGTTATGGCACACAACAACAAGAGTGTCTCTATACAATACAACAACAAGAGAGTCTCAGTTATGGTACACAACAAGAGTGTCCACAACACAACAACAAATCTTGCTATGGCACACAACAAGAGTAATCCATGTTATGCACACAACAACAAGAGTGACTCTGTTATGGCACAACAACAAGAAAGACTCTGTTATGGTACACAACAAAACCAACACAACAAAACACACACACAAGAGGTCTCTGTTATGGCACACAACAACAAGAGGTTTCATATACACACACACAAAAAGTGTCTCACACACAACAACAAGAGTGTCTCCAACACAACAAGAGTGTCTCCAAGAGGCACACAACAACAAGAGTGTCTCTATGGCACACAAACAACAAGAGTGTCTCTGTTATGGCAGCAAACAACAAGAGTGTTCCTGTATGGGTACCAACAAGAGTGTCTCTAGATGGCACACAACAACAAGAAAGTTCCCTTGTTATGGCACACAACAACAAGAGTGACCTGTTATGGCACACAACAACAAGAGTGTCTCTGTTATGGCACACAACAACAAGAGTGTCTCAACACAACAACAAAAAACCACACACAACAAACAAACACAACAAACAACCCAAAAACACAACAACAAAAACATGGTACACAACAAGAGCTATGGTACACAACAAAGAGTGTCCCTGTTATGGCACACACAACAAGAGTGCCCTGTTATGGCACACCAAACCCCACAACAAACCCTAGTACACAACAAGAGTGTCTCTGTTATGGTACAACAACAAGAGTGTCTCTGTTATGCAGTAACAACAAGAGTGTCTCTGTTATGGTACACAACAAGAGTGTCTCTGTTATGGCAACACAACAACAAGAGTGTCTCTGTTATGGCACACAACAAGAAGGTCTCTCTATTATGGCACAACAACAAGAGTGTTCTGTTATGGCACACAACAAGAGTGTTCTGTTATAGGCCACTAACAAGAGCAAGTCCCTGTTGCAATAATAACAACAAGAGTGTCCCTATGTTAGCACACCAACAAAAGTGTCTCTGTTATGGCACACCAAGAAAAGTTATGGTACACAACAAAGAGTGTCTCTGTTATGGCAATAATAACAAAAGTGCCTGTTATGGAAACAACAACAAAGTGTCTCTGCTATAATACACCAACAAGAAGTGCTCTGTATGGCACACAACAAAAGTGTCTCTGTTATGGTACACAACAAGAGTGTCTCTGTTATGGCATAACAACAAGAGTGTCTCTGTTATGCAATAACAACAACAAAGAGTGCTCTGTCGTCACCAAGAGTGTCTCTGTTAAGGCACACAACAAGAAAGAAGCTCTGTTATGGCACAACAAGAGTGTCTTATATGGTACAAACAACAAGAGTGGTCTCTGTTATGGACACACAACAAGAGTGTTCTGTTATGGTACCAACAAGAAAGTGTCTCTGTTATGGCACACAACAAGAGGGTCTCTGTTATGGCACACAACAAGAGTGCTCTGTTATGGCACACAACAAGAGTGTTCCTGTTATGGCACACAACAAGATGTCTCTGCTATGGCACACAACAAGAGTAAGTCTCTGTTATGGTACACAACAAGAGTGTCTCTGTTATAGGCACACAACAAGAGTGTCTCTGTTATGGTACACAGACAAGAGTGTCTCTGTTATGGTACACAACAAGAGTGTCTCTATGGACGACAAGAGTGTCTCTGTTATGTGCACACAACAAGAGTGTCTCTATGGCATACACAACAAGAGTGTCTCTGTTATGGCGGTCAAACAAGAGTAGCCCTGTTATGGCGGTCAACAACAAGAGTGTCTCTGTTATGGCACACGACAAGAAGTGTCTCTGTTATGGACACAAAACAAAGAGTCTCTGTTATGGTACACAACAAGAGTGTCTCTGTTATCAGGTCATTAACGACAAGAGTGTCTCTGTTATGGCACACAAGAGCAAGTTCTGTTATGGTAAAACAACAAGAGTGTCTCTGTTATGGCACACAACAAGAGTGACTTTGTTATGGCACACAACAAGAGTGACTCTGTTATGGTGCAACAGCAAGAGTGTCTCTGTAGGTACACAAACAAGAGTTTCTCTAAGGCAGGTAACGACAGAGTGTCTCTGTTATGGTACACAACAGAGTGCTTGTTATGGCACACAAACAAGAGTGTCTCTGTTATGGCACACAACAAGAGTGTCTCTGTTATGGTACACAACAAGAGTGTCCCTGTTATGGTACACAACAAAGAGTGTCCCTGTTATGGCACACAACAACAAGAGTAGTCTCTGTTATGGTACACAACAAGAGGTCTCTGTTATGGCACACAACAAGAGTGACTCTGTTATAGTAACACAACAAGAAAGTGTCTCTGTTTAGCACACAACAAGAGTGTTCTGTTGGCGTACACAACAAGAAGTGTCTCTGTTTGGCACAACAAGAGTGTCTCTGTTATGGCTACAACAACAAGAGTGTCTCTGTTATGGTACACAACAAGAGTGTTCTGTTATGGTACACAACAAGAGTGTCTCTGTTGGCGCACAACAAGAGTGTCTCTTATGGTACACAACAAGAGTGTCTCTGTTATGGTACAAAAAGAGTGTCTCTGTTATGGCACACAACAAGAGATCTCTACAAAATGTTCAACGTATCACGACAACAAGTGCCGGACAGAGTGTGAGCGTAGATTAATTTTTACATTTTAATTTTGCCTCTACAGCGGTTTTGATAGCATCCCATAATCATCCTGTGAGCGGTAGCGCAAAAAAGACAACAGGATATTATGGCACTGAATGTTAGCAGAGTATTTTCAAATAAATTATTTGATTAGTTCTATACATAAAGGGTAACTTTTCTCAACTGCGAGTACAGAATGTGAGGCAGAATGTCTGCTGCACACTTTGATTATTCAAATTTGCGTGGGAGAGGCATTCAAGGCACACCAGGCGAGGTAGTCCAGTGTAGAGGTGGGACCAATGTAGAGGGGGGACCAGTGTGAGGTGGACCAGTGTAGAGGGACCAATGTAGAGGTGGACCAGTGTAGAGGTGGACCAATGTAGAGGTGGACCAGTGTAGAGGTAGACCAGTGTAGAGGTGGACCAATGTAGAGGTGGACCAGTGTAGAGGTGGACCAGTGTAGAGGTGGGACCAGTGTAGAGGTGGACCAGTGTAGAGGTAGACCATGTAGAGGTAGACCAATGTAGAGGGTGAACCAGTGTAGAGGTGGGACCAGTGGAGTGGACCAATGTAGAGGTGGACCAGTGTAGAGGTGGACCAGTGTACAGGTGGACCAGTGAGGTGACCAGTGTAGAGGTAGACCAATGTAGAGGTGAACCAGTGTAGAGGTGGACCAGTGTGAGGTGGACCAGTGTAGAGGCAGACCAGTGTAGAGGTAAGCCAGTGAGAGGGTGAACCAGTGTAGAGGTGGACCAGTGTAGAGGTGACCAGAGAGGGACCATGTAGAGGTGGACCAGTGTAGAGGGTGGACCAGTGTTGAGGTAGACCAATGTAGAGGTGGACCAATGTAGAGGGGTGGACCAGTAAGAGGTGGACCAGTGCAGAGGTGGACCAGTGAGGTGGGACCAGTGTAGAGGTGGACCAGTATAGAGGTGGACCAATGTAGAGGTGGACCAATGTAGAGGTAGACCAGTGTGTAGAGGGACCAGTGTTGAGAGACCAGTGTTGGAGGTAGACCAGTGTAGAGGTAGACCAGTGTAGAGGTAGACCAGTGTAGAGGTAGACCAGTGTAGAGTTGGACCAATGTTGAGGTGGGCCAATGTAGAGGTGGGCCAATGTAGAGGTGGGACCAAATAGGTGGACCAATGTAGAGGTGGACTGAGCAGAGGTAGACCAGTGTAGAGGTGACCAGTGTAGAGGTGGACCAATGTAGAGGTGGACCAGTGTAGAGAGGTGACCAATGTAGAGGTGACCAGTGTAGAGGTAGACCAGTGTAGAGGTGGACCAGTGTAGAGGTAGACCAGTGTAGAGGTAGACCAGTGTAGAGGTAGACCAGTGTAGAGGGGTGCAGACCAATGTAGAGGTGGATCAGAGTAGAGGTAGACCAGTGTAGAGGTGGACCAGTGTAGGGTGGACCAGTGTAGAGGTAGACCAGTGTGAGGTGGACCAGCAGAGGTGGACCAGTGTAGAGGTAGACCAGCAGAGGTAGACCAGTGTAGAGGTAGACCAGTGTAGAGGTAGACCAACAGAGGTGGATCTGAGTAGAGGTAGACCAGTGTAGAGGTGACCAGTGTAGGGGTGGACCAGTGTAGAGTAGAACAGTGAGTGTGACCAGTGTAGAGGTGGACCAGTGGAGGTAGACTGTAGAGGTAGACCAATGTAGAGGTGGACTGTGAGTAGAGGTAGACCAGTGTAGAGGTGGACCAGTGTGGGGTGGGACCAGTGTAGAGGTAGACCAGTGTAGAGGTGGACCAGTGTAGAGGTGGACCAGTAGAGGTAGACCAGTGGAGAGGTAGACCAGTGTAGAGGTAGACCACTGTAGAGGTAGAGACCAGTGAGGTAGACCACTGTAGAGGTAGACCACTGTAGAGGCAGACCATTGTAGAGGTGGGACCAATGTAGAGGTGGGACCAGTGTAGAGGTAGACCAGTGTAGAGGTAGACCAATGTAGAGGTAGACCAGTAGAGGTAGACCACTGTGGAGGTAGACCAGTAGAGGTGGACCAGTGTAGGTGGACCAGTGTAGATGTGGACCAATGTAGAGGTGGGACCAGTGTGAGGTGGACCAGTGTAGAGGGACCAGTGTAGAGGTAGACCAGTGTAGAGGGTAGACCAATGTAGAGGTGGACCAGTGTAGAGGTGGACCAATGGAGGTGGACCAGTGTAGAGGTGGACCAGTGTAGAAGTGGACCAGTGTAGAGGTGGACCAGTGTAGAGGTGACCAGCAGGTGGACCAGTGTAGAGGTGGACCAGTGTAGAGGTGGACCAGTGTAGAGGTAGACCAGTGTAGAGGTAGACAAATGTAGAGGTGGACCAGTGAGGTAGACCAGTGTAGAGGGTAGACCAGTGTAGAGGTGGGACCAGTAGAGGTAGACCAATGTAGAGGTGGGACCAGTGTAGAGGTGGACCAGTGTAGAGGTAGACCAGTGTAGAGGTAGACCAGTGTAGAGGTGGACCAGTGTAGAGGTGGACCAGTGTGAGGTAGACCAAGTAGAGGTAGACCAGTGTAGAGGTGGGACCAGTGTAGAGGTGGACCAGTGTAGAGGTAGACCATGTAGAGGTAGACAAATGTAGAGGTGGACCAGTGTAGAGGTAGACCAGTGTAGAGGTAGACCAGTGTAGAGGTGGACCAGTGTAGAGGTAGACCAGCGTAGAGGTAGACCAGTGTAGAGGTGGACCAGTGTAGAGGTGGACCAGTGTAGAGGTAGACCAGTGTAGAGGTAGACAAATGTAGAGGTGGACCAGTGTGAGGTGAACCAGTGTAGAGAAAACCAGTGTAGAGGCAGACCAGTGTAGAGGCAGACCATTGTGGAGGTGGACCAATGTAGAGGTGGGACCAATGTGAGGTGGGACCAGTGTAGAGGTAGACCAGTGTAGTGTAGACCAGTGTAGAGGTAGACCAGTGTAGAGGCAGACCAGTGTAGAGGCAGACCATTGTAGAGGTGAACCACTGTAGAGGTAGACCAATGTAGAGGTGGGACCAGTGTAGAGGTAGACCAGTGTAGAGGTAGACCAGTGTAGAGGTAGACCAGTGTAGAGGCAGACCAGTGTAGAGGCAGACCAGAGAGGTGGACCAATGTAGAGGTGGACCAGTGTAGAGGTAGACCAGTTTAGAGGTAGACCACTGTAGAGGTAGACCACTGTAGAGGTAGACCAGTGTAGAAGTGGACCACTGTAGAGGTAGACCAGTGTAGAGGGGACCAGTGTAGAGGTAGAACCAGTGTAGAGGCAGACCAGTGTAGAGGCAGACCATGTAGAGGTGGACCAATGTAGAGGTGGGACCAGTGTAGAGGTAGACCAGTGTAGAGGTAGACCAATGTAGAGGTAGACCAGTGTAGAGGTAGACCAGTGTAGAGGTAGACCAGTGTAGAGGTGGGACCAGTGTAGAGGTGGACCAGTGTAGATGTGACCAATGTAGAGGGACTGTGTGTAGAGAGGTGACCAGTAGGAGGTGGACCAGTGTAGAGGTAGACCAGTGTAGAGGTAGACCAATGTAGAGGTGGACCAGTGTAGAGGTGGACCAATGGGTGAGGACCAGTGTAGAGGTGGACCAGTGAAGTCGACCAGTGTAGAGGTGACCAGTGTAGAAGTGGACCAGTGTAGAGGTAGACAATGTAGAGGTGGACCAGAGGTGGGACCAGTGCAGAGGTGGACCTGTAGAGGTGGACCAATGTAGAGGTGGACCAATGTAGAGGTGGGACCAGTGTAGAGGGACCACTGTAGAGGTAGACCAATGTAGAGGTAGACCAGTGTAGAGGTGGACCAATGTAGGGTGGACCAGTGTAGAGGTGGACCAGTGTAGAGGTAGACCACTGTAGAGGAGACCACTGTAGAGGTGGACCAGTGTAGAGGTGGACCAGTGTAGATGGGACCAATGTAGAGGGACCAGTGTAGAGGTGGACCAGTGTAGTGGACCAGTGTAGAGGTAGACCAGTGTCAGAGGTAGACCAATGGAGGTGACCAGTGTAGAGGTGGACCAATGTAGAGCTGGACCAGTGTAGAGGTGGACCAGTGTAGAGGACCAGTGTAGAGTAGACCAATGAGAGGTGGACCAGTAGTGGGACCAGTGTAGAGGTGACCAGTGTAGAGGTGGGACCAGTGGAGGTGGACCAGTAGAGGTGGACCAATGTAGAGGTGGACCAGTGAGGTGGACCAGTGAGGTGGACCACTGTAGAGGTAGACCAATGTAGAGGTAGACCAGTGTAGAGGTGGACCAATGTAGAGGTGGACCAGTGTAGAGGACCAGTGTGAGTGGACCAGTGTAGAGGTGGACCAGTAGAGGTAGACCACTGTAGAGGTAGAACAGTGCAAAGGTAGACCAGTGTAGAGTTAGACCAGTGTAGGTAGACCAGTGAGAGGACCACTGTAGAGGTAGACCAGTGTAGAGGTAGAACAGTGTGTGAAAGGTAGACCAGTGGACCAGTGTAGAGGTAGACCAGTGGACTAGTGTAGAGGTAGACCAGTGTGGACTAGTGGTAGGTAGACCACTGTGGTGTAGACTAGTGTAGGTAGAGAACAGTGTAGAGGTAGACCAGTGTAGAGTTAGACCAGTGTAGAGGTAGACCAGTGTAGAGGTAGACCACTGTGAGGTAGACCAGTGTAGAGGTGGACCAGTGGTCCAGTGTAGAGGTAGACCAGTGGACTAGTGTAGAGGTAGACCAGTTTAGAGGTGGACCAGTGTAGAGGTAGACCAGTGTAGAGGTGGACCAGTGTAGAGGTAGACCAGTGTAGAGGTAGACCAGTGTAGAGGTGGACCAGTGTAGAGGTAGACCAATGTAGAGGTAGACCAGTGTAGAGGTGAACCACTGTAGAGGTAGACCAATGTAGAGGTGGACCAATGGTGGCTACAGGACTTTGACCTGGGGATCCTGGGGTCGGGTGACGTGCAGAGTCCTCCACCTCCTACACTAACTTATGGCGCTACGTCCTGCTCGTCGAAATGAGCCCCGACCTAACCTAACCGAATCTAACCAAACTTAATCTAACTTAACTTAGTGTAACCCCAACATAACCCAAACCCACCACTCGAGTTGGATCACTGATACATAATCCGAATCCTAATAGCTAGGTTAGAGACTATCAGGTCTGACCCAATCCTAAAGATTACACAAGAACACACTGTGTCCTCAGCCCCAATGGTTAGCAAGGCTTATAGATTAACCCCTAATGGTTAGGTTAAGGACTATTAAGATTGGTACCCATTTGACCAGTCACCGCCGACGTAACCTTGGGTGACCTGCCTGACCCCTGGCCAGGGAGGGGCCAGCCACTCCCTCCTGAGCTCCATCACCCACAGATTGTGTGGCTGAGTGACTCACAAAAATCTTAAAAGTTGTCTGTTGTAAAGAAACTCTAGAAGCCGTAAGCTCAATGCTCGTGAGCCTGGCAGTTGACTCCATCTAATCCTAAGACGACAACAGCCTCTGATCTAATGGCAGACGAAAGCTTTTAACAAGAGTCTTGGGTTATATCGACTTACTTGTTTATATACCCATACCGTCCATCTGGAACCACTGTCAACATATTCATCCAGTTTAACCTATAAATATCCGTCTTTCTATCTGCCTATAATTCATTCTGTCCAGTCTATCTAAACCATATATTTTTCTCTTCATAGCTGGGTGTATTGTATTTAGGATGATATAAGTATCTAGTAATAGTAAAATAAAATATGTAATGGGTAGCCTATACCTACTGTTAGATATGGTGGCACAAGGATAAGTCACCTACCCTACCCCTAAACTAACCTAAGACATTCCAATATTATATATATATATTTTTTTTTTTTTCTATTATTATTATTATTATTATTATTATTATTATTATTATTATTATTATATTGTTACATATTATTATTACTGTTATTATTATTACTTTTTTATTATCATTACTGTTATTATTATCATTACTATTATTATTATTACTGTATAGCTATACGAGGATATTGTATGTTAATGATAAATGAATATTATTCTATTTTATTCAGGTGTACGTGATAAGGAAAAGCTAATTTTATCTTTCATTAATTTTCACTCACCTTCAAGTATCGTGTGTTAAAACCACAGGTGAATAAAGCATAAGAACTACCGAGCTTGAAATCTCTTAATGTTGCGGTAAATGAAGACTCACAGAGATGAAATGTTGTTAATATTGTGTACTGAGTATACTGTCTCGCCACTGTGGTGTGTTGCAGTTTTATTGTTGTTTTGTCAGAAGAAACTTATTGATGGATAGGTTTGTGTAATTGGAGAGAGAGAGAGAGAGGAGAGAGAGAGAGAGAGAGAGAGAGAGAGAGAGAGAGAGAGTTGTAAGTCTTTATTTTTTTCAGTCTTACTCTATAAGACTGTGCACCTGAGATATATTCACCATAGAGTTTCGAAAATGTTATGCTTGGTCTGTGAGGGTGTTGTTTGTACGGTGCCGGAAAAGTCAAAATAAAAAAAAAGACGATCCCAACTTTGGCTTGGTTAGTGTTAGGTTAGGTGACTTTTTTCCAAGAATAGTTTGTGCAGGACGGTCGGAGGTACAGTATGATGAGAAAATGGCGTGGCCTCTCGTCCCTCCCTTCTCTTAACCAGTTTAAGTCTCTCCAGAGATCACGAGGCCACCTCCCAAATGTAAACAGGACACGCCCAAAATCGGTCCCAAAATACCTCCTCAACCCCACCTCCACCCACCCAACCTCAACTTAATCCTCACACCTTCATCCCCATCCCACCCTCACCCCCCCAAAACAACACACCTTCCAATACCCCCTCCCTTATGTTCATATTGGGACGGCCATTGTAGCGACGCGATCATGACTCGATAATCAGCGTAAAATGACTCCTAGTCTCTGGCCCCAAACCTTGCTCTAAAAGCTGGTCTTGACCTAGTGTCAACCTGTGTCTCGACCCTGCCTTCACTTTGTCTCGATCATCAGGAACATGACCAACCAAGGTACAGTACAGTACCGCCCAGCCTGGTGGGTGAGCCTTTACGGAACATATGACTGAATAATACGAGAAGTTTTCGGTTTGTCTATCTTAAAAGTTCCAAGATTTGATGACTCTTCTGTTTTTAATATAAGTAGACTTACCTATCATACAAATATTGGAATTCAATGTTAAGATTCCTTTCTATGAACTAATTGGAAAAAAGAATGGTATTATTTGTAACGTCCAAAATTTATATACCAGGTATACTTTATTGGAATTTCAATTTGTAATTCCTTTTCCAAAGGAAGGAAGGTTATGTATGATAGAAAACTTCCATACACACACACACACACACACACACACACACACACACACACACACACACCTGGTTTAGGATAATCACATTATGTAGACAAAATATTCAAGCCTCATTCTAATGGCTGTGTTCCCCTACTCAAATGTTTTAATCATCTGACAGGAATTTCTGTATTAAAAGGCATGTTCGAGCGAGGAATTTGCCGATGAAATTTATAACCTTTGTCACTTTGTCCGAGCACGATGTTTACTTCCTCGTAGTGTATTAACCTTTGTATGAATCGTGAGCTTTGCATCTCATCCATCGTCCTGACTGCTGTATCAATCACTGCCTCACCTCCTTGTATAAACCTCTAACTCAACTGTCTCAAGTTATTGTCTCGACTCATGTATCACCATTTTTTCCTCTTGTCTTGAATGGTTTTCTAACTTTGTATGTATTCGGGCGTTGTTTTGACTCTTGAATGAACTTTTGCTTGAATCCCTGACCTTATTCTGTGACCCATTGTTGACTCAACCAGCGTCTCGACTCATGTATCTAAATAATCTCGTAACTCACTATTTACTCAACTATTATCTCGACACATTGATCAACCTCCTGTCTGTATAATCTTCCCCACCCCTAACTTAACCTCTCAGCTTGACCTTTAACTCGACTTTGTCTCGCGAATCACCACCGTCTCGATCCGTCCCTTGTCTCATATCTGTCCGACCACTGACAGATCCTCCCTCTCCTCCTCCTCCTCCTCCCCGGGTGTCGTCTAGCGTCTGGAACCCCTTATGGTCTCCTCCCGAGGGTGGTGGTGGGTGTGTCCCTCCCTCCACCACCCGTCAGTCTGTGAGAAGCTCCACCATTTGTCTTGGGGTGAGTTACAAGTCACAGATAAGTGAAACACATTGGGAAAGTTTTTACGGTGACATAATGTTTTTTTCAGTGTGTGTGTGTGTGTGTGTGTGTGTGTGTGTGTGTGTGTGTGTGTGTGGTCCCTGTCGTTTTATTAACTCTTCCTATGTTCTACATTTTTATGAGTTGGTCTTTACTGGATAACCGGAAAACTCTCAAAAATTGGGATCAACTGAAGATTAGACCCCAGCTTAAGATTAACCACCCTAATGTTAACCTAAGCTGACCTGAACTCCAGATAGCTTACAGTGAAATAAATTGGTGATCCTGAAACTGGTGTGAATGTAGAAAGATAAACATAGACTTCAATGGAAACATGAGTCGACCAAAGAGCCTGTAATAAGAGTTTGTCCAAGAGCAATTTACTTTTAAAAGCATAATTACCCACCGAGAATTTTAACATAAAACTGTATTTTCTCCATAACCAGCGACTTTCTCTACGTCATTTTTGAGGAGAGAAAAATGAAACTCAAATAAAATCCTGATAGTAGTGTAGCTGGAGGGACGAGTTGCAGCTCAGGAGAGTGAACATAATGGTGTCTCGTTTATGATAAGTCTCGATGGTTAGGTTAGGTTAGGTT